CGCGGTCTCCTGGGGCTGCCGGAGTACAGAGGCGGCCGCGTCGCTCCGAGCATCCTTTCCAGCTGGTCCCCGCCCGCCAGCTCGCCGGTGCTGCTGCCTCGGCTCAGCGTGACTTCTTTGTGTTTTGCTTTCTGCCCGCGCCTCTCCTCTGCAGGACCTGTTCGTCCTTCTTCGGGCTACAAGAAGGCAGATGATGAGATGTCCCGGGCCACGTCTGTTGGAGACCAGCTGGACGCACCAACCCGCACCATTTACCTCAACCAAGCGCATCTCAACAAATTCCGTGACAACCAGATCAGGTAGGAGACGGCGACAGACACAGGAAGCAGTTGATTCCAGCTGGCCCGGGGCTTGGCTTCCTCTTGTTGTCTTTTCCACGCATCTAGCAGCCTCTGCCCCTCTCTGCTTCCTCCAGCCCCTTCCACTCCCCTTCCCCTGAAGCCTGGACGTCTGTCTACACCCGCGTTTCCAATCCGGTCGTGGGAATAGAGCCTTATCTTTCCTGCTTTGCTTTGGTCCTGTGCTCGGGCTGTCTGTGAGCCCAGAGGACGTTTTTACTCTTTTGTCTCCGGCAAAAATGAGGTCTGTTAGCGTTCATCCCTGAGCTCCCTCCAGGAATTCCCCCCTTTCCAGTCCTGTTTTAAGCCAACGGATAGCCTTCCGCAGCGATTTACCGACTGTACGTGGAGAAGTGCTCTGTAACGGAATCCGTCGGGTCACAAGAGCTTCAATTCAGCTCTCAACGCCCGGGTCGTTTGTTCAGAGGGCTTTATTTGCTGGGAAGCTTTGCCCAGAGTTAGCGGGAAGATGATGGAAGCTAACGTTTGCATGTCTGCTTTCTGCCGGCCGCTGTGCCGGGTGCTTAAGCCGCGCTGGCTTTGTAAATCCCCGCCACCTCGCGAAGAAGGCGTTCTTACCTTTGGGTGAGGAAGCTGCCGTGGAAAGGTGTTAAATAATGTACCTGTGGTCCCTGAGCTATAAATGACCAGGCTGGAAATGGAACCCAGCCTGTCTGACTGCTGAGCTCCAGTTCTTTCTACTGCGTAAAGCTAGCTTTTTCGGGCACGAGAGTTTGCACGTTTTCAGATGTCATTAAACTTTCAGGCTTAGACATTATCTCTGGGAGTGACTTCAGAGGAGGTAGTTGTGTGAGTGGCTCAGAATGCCACACTCAGGGGTAGAGAGGGTAAGTCAGGTTACACATAGATTACTGACAAACCTAAATTCCAGTCCTGGGCTCCTTGAAAGCGCTGGCTAAAGCTTTGTTATGTGTTAAGTGTTCCCCTGCAGTCTTTCACTGGATAGGCTGCTTCACTGGACGTCTTTATTTAGAAAGATGTGGCTGTTGGACATTATTGTAGCTGGATAGGATTTGGGGTCGAATAATGGTGCATACTCTGCCGAGGTGACACTTCCATTTATTAAGAGTGTTAGATTATCCTGGCTTTATTTGGGGTTTTAAGAATGACCCTTGGGGCATCTTTTATACTTAAAAGTATAACTTAGAAGAATAGCTGAGGCCAGATTCAAGAATGAGTGGCTTGATTTAAGATACAGAGCACCAAACACAGTGAGGTAGTGCTTCACACACTAAGGTAGCTCTGATGGAAAGAACAGCGACAAGTGCTGGCGAGGATGTGGAGAAATGGGAACCCTTGTGTGTCACTGATGGGAATGAGAAATGGTGCAGCTGCTTTGGAAAACAGCTTGGCAGTTCCTTAAAAGGTTAGATGTAAAGTCACGTAGGACCCAGCCATTCTACTCCAAGGGGTATATACCCAAGAGGAATGAAGACATGTGTCCACATAGGAGCTGGTGCAGGTGTCCGTGACCACGTTATCATCATAGCCCAAGGTGGAAAGAGTCCAGATGTCTTTCAACTGACAAATGAATACAGAAAATATGATACAGCCCTACAATGGAATATTATTTGGCCATAAAAAGGAGTGGAATAATACAACATGGACTAACCTTGAAAATGTTATGCTGATAGGAAGAAGCCAGGAACAGATTTCATGTGTGATTCCATTTATACAAGCTATCCAGAAGAGACAAATGTATTGAGAGAGAAGATAATGAGTGGCTCCTGGGGCTGGAGAAGAGGTTGGGGAAAGGGGAGTGGCTCTAATGTGCATGGGGTTTCACCTTGGGGTGATGGAGACACAACTCTGAAATGTACTTAGACCATCTGGAATCCTGCCCTGACGATATAGATCCATTTCCTTAGACCTTCTCATTGAGTTTCTTTTAAAAAGGTAAAAAGATTTATTTTTGAAAAGATACATACTGTATAAGGATATGGAATTGAAGAGCTACTCTTCTTTTTAAACTTTAAGATATTTTCAAATAGTATTTTTTCTTAGTTCTTATTCATTTTCTTAATTTTGATTCCCATTTGTGCAGGCTTGAAGCTGGGAGAAGGAAATAGGGATCGTTGGGTTTTGTCTAAATTCTTTAGTTTCCATGGAAGGGGAAGGTTTTTTTTTTTTTAAAGTCTTGGTAATGGGACCTCACAATCTGTTCTCTAATCAAGACTCACATTGGCTTTTTAAATTGAATTGTAGTTGATTTGTGTTAGTTTCTGGTGTACAGTATGGTGGTTCAGTTATACATATATATAATTCTTTTTCGTATTCTTTTTCATTGTAGGCTGTTACAGCTATTGAATGTGGTTCCCTGTGCTGTACAGTAGGACCTTGTTGTTTATCTATTTTGTATATAGTAGTTTGTATCTGCAAATCCCAAACTCCTAATTTATCCCTCCCCCCTGCCTTTCCCTCCTGGTAATCATAAGTTTGTCTTCTGTGTTTGTGAGTCTGTTTCCATTTTGTAAATAAGTTCACTTGTGTCTTTTTTTTAGATTTCACATATAAGCGACATCATATGATAATTGTCTCTGACTAACTTCATGTAGTATGACCATCACCAGGTCCATCCACATTGCTGCAAACGGCAATGTCTCATCCTTTATTATGGCCGAGTAGTACTCCATTGCATATGCACACCACAGCTTCTTTATCCGAGACTCACACTGACTTGGAGGCTGATTTTATCATCAGTCAGAGATTTCCAGGGACTGCCTGCTGTGCGGTCTTGCCTGTGCTTTTTAGGGGTAGGGGACAGGGAAGCGGGCGTATCTTTGGGCTGGCTAGGAGCGAAGTGAGCAGACATGGACTACTCAAAGCCTTGTATGAGTGAATAATTGAATTAATTAAATATATTAAATATTCATATAATTTTTCAGTTCATGGTTTATACATGAGCCTAAGTTTCAGAATACACTGAATAGGCTCTGAGAAATTAAAGTGTGGCCTGCTGTTCTATAAGATGGTCTTCAAATATTTGCTTCACCTTGACTGTGTTTTTCATGAGGAATTATTGTTGGTAATGTGATTCATACTTTATTCAAGAATTGATTATAAATGGATTCTCTTGGCACTATAGCTTAAGCATTTTACAAAATGTTGTCCAACATTGTTTTAGCACTTGAATGTCACTGAAATCAAGCTTTATAACAATATTGATTTTTTTTAAAATAAGGCTTTTTTTTTAAAAAAATAAGGCTTTTTACTTGGTTCTGAATGCTTGCTAAAAGTTGGTAAAGCTATTCAAAGGATATTTCCCTAAAAGTGAGTTGGTAAAGGATTTTTTTTCTTAATATAATTTTTCTTGCGGAAGCATGAATGGTTTTTCTTGGAGCGTGGGGCAGGGAGTGTCTATCCCAGACTGTTTGCTTCTAAATCAAGGCTTTTGAAAAGAAGGGACTATGTGGGACAGAGGCCCTGATGCCCATTCATGGAGTTGGGGTGTTGGTGTATTTGGTCGCCCTGCATCTCCGGAGGCTGCCCTTCCTGGAGCGGAGCTGTCTCGCTTACCTTCTGGACCCCAGGCCCTCCCTGGCTTGGAACCTCAGGGGTCTTGGCAGTTGCTCTGTGACCGCCTTCATGGGCAACTGGCGTTCTGACTTCACAGAAAGGACTGGCGTTTGCTGGGGAGGGATGTGGTGGTGGGGCGCTGGGCGAGGTTAGGGAGGGCAGTGTGCTACGATTCTGAACAGGGATGGATGGTTCAGGGTTAACGCTTGGACTAGTTTACCCACAAAAGAGGCTCAGCCTGGCCCCCAGGAGTGAGGAAGTCACTGCCGGAGCTGGCTGTAGCCTTGGCACCGCAGGAGTGCCCGACATGGTAACTCTGAATTCCAAGCAGTTCCTTGAAATTCTGGGAGTCTGTGCCATGTAACTGGATGTCTCTCTAAACCTTGTTCTTGACACTGAAAACAATGCCGGTGTTTGATCTAAAGCTGTGGTGGGCTGAAGTTTTCCGTTGTTGAAGCCAATGAATTTGGATTATCATAGAGAAATATGACATGGTCTTCTCTCCTGGGCGTTGATTTTCTAGGGCCTCAGCTGCGAAGACAGTGACTGTCTTCAGTCATTCAGAACTGAGTAGACATTGCAGCGTCCGTCTACACGTGTAAGATCTTACATATATCCACCTTACGAGATGCCTTTTTTCTGAAGTGTACGATCGCATCTCCTTTAACATTCAACAGCTTTATTCGGCTGTAATTCACATACCATATAACCATCCATGTAAAGGATGCAGTTCAGTGCCTTTGAGTACTTTTAGAGTTGTACAACCATGAACACAATTTTGGAACATTTTTGTCACTTCCAGAGGAAACTGTACTGTTTAGCTATCTTCTCCCCATCCTTCCTCCCTCAGCTCGAAGCAGCCACTCATCTTCTTTCTGTCTCTGCAGGTTTTCCTGTTCTCCACATTCCACGTGCAGGATGCCGTTTTCCTTTAAGCGTTTTAAGTTAAACAGTAAATGCTTACAGAAAACTTGCCACTTAGAGGGGGCCGGTGGCAAACATTAAAGTTTGTGTATCTAAATTTGAAAAAAATGTTTCAAGGTGAAAAAAAATTTTTTTCCAGAAAGTATCTTGAAATGATTTACTGATCAAAGGAATGGACAGTATTTATGTAATCAAGATCAGGCAGTGAAGTCTTTTTGTGTGATTATCAGCATACCATTTACAACTGTGAGTTTCAAGGCTGTAAAGGGATTTTCTCAGTGTTTGAAGTGAGGTCTTGCAAAGCAAGGTAGGCATGTTTACAGTTGCTCAGTTTTGAATGAGTCCTTCATTTCAGGTGGGAGTTTTAGTTAGCAAAAATCTTCATTAAAGCAATAACCTGACTTTGTCAAGCTACTGCATTTCTTAGGTTGGTTTGTCTTACAAGAAAATGGCTTTATGAATATTTTGCTGGTTTTGCCGGGATAAGTTTAAAATAGAAT